CTAGCTACATCCGTCAACGGATGACTCTCAAGTGGGAATGCACTTGGCGAAAGCTGTCAGGGAATAACTTTGTACTACTGGAGCAGTTAAAGACAAGTACCATACTCGTCTCCTTGCTATGGTTGAGTACAGAGTCCATCACTTACAACGTGAACAAAAAGACAAATCCTAACAATGGAATCATCACATCTCAGGCAACGATGGCCAGTTTAATCCTTCAGCCAGAAAATTAATGCCGTCACCCTTCTGGGTTGCTGTTCTTGACTACGCTACGCACATACTCTGTTCTACCATAGAGCTCATAACCTTGGTTAGCTTCGTGCTTTCTTCTAATGAACGTCGAGCTTATCAATCTAGTTGCAAACTTATCACCTAGTGTGGTAACATCCTAAGCATGTATCAGTTTACAATGTACTTTGTGAATTCAAGTTCCTGGGAGCAATACTAAGGTTGATATACGATAAAAATCGGCTTCCAGTTATGTTGTCAAGGTGAACGTTTGTGATTGCAACTGATCCTCTTAATGTTGTTTTGACATGGCAGAGTCGATCGAAATCCGCCTGGCTCAAGCTGTTTTTGTTCTGTTCTTATCAATTCTCGTTTGTTTGTAAGCGGCAATAGTCGACTAGTCGATCGAAGGAGAATACTTTATAACAGGTCGATATGATATGTGCGCATGTAAATAGAATGCTTTTTGAGTCACAATCCATTTACACAACGTGCACTACAGAATAACCCTCCAATCAGTTATTAACCGTTGCGCCAAGTGTTGCCCGTCGTGACCAGGTGGCTTAGGGTTGGCGGTCACAACAAACCGCTCAATTGTCCCTGGTTCGATATTTGCTATCTCTATCTCATGCGGTCAAATAAGGTCGAAATGTGTCATGGATTGCAGTGGTTTCGTGCGGCAAATTCATGACATATCTGTTACCCGCGATTCGTCTCACGCTACGGTGTTCCCGGTAGGCAACGTACTCTGCGCTAACTCAGTGGCAAGAGTGACAAGTAAGCTAACTCGGTCCCTCAATCCTGGAAGCCATTATTCACTGAATTCTGGAATGTCAAATCCAAGTTGGATGTCGGCAGCCAAGCGTTGACCATGCGCACACTACAAGAATACCAGATCGACATAGCATGCCTGTCAGAATCTCGAATATCTTACTATGCCTCTCAACCAGTCAAAATCCATGGTGTACATACTTCATATTGGCTTTAACACAGAGGCCGGCCAATAAGTCTGGCAATCATAAGGTCACCCTGGCTCTCAGTTGCCCGTCCCACAACGCTCTCCTTTCATAGAGGCCAGCAGCAGCTAGAATAGCAGTTGCTTGCTTCAAAGGTCACCCGATGAATGTGACCATAATCTCTGGAAACGCATCAACCCAACCCCCAGTGGAAAGAAACAAAGACGATTTTTACGATTCTCTAGCCAGTGGTAAACCATGGTATAAAACGCGACATCCTCATTAACTCTATGGACTGAAATGCACGAACCGGGCCGAGGACCGATCAGACCCGTCACAAACTTGGAAGATACGCCCGTGGAGAGCGCAGTGCTAATGAAGACCGCTTGCTCAACTTCGCTGAACTTAACCGTTTGTGCATAAACAATACTCGGTTGCAGCATTCCAGGAAGCGTCTGTTGACGTGGTACTCCAATGATGGGCACATAGCAATTCGGATAGAGTACATCTTAATCTGATCCCGGTGGATGTCCTTCATCAATGACTGTCGAGCATAAAGTAGCGCGGAATCGGACTACACAGGTGGTTCGGACCACGAGCTCCTGCGCACCAAATTTTGACTCCGCTTGACAACCCACCAGAAGACCCTTCAACCAAGGTGTATCAACACTGATCCACTGAAAAATACTGGCTGCTTCCGATCCCTTGAGGTAACAATAGGAGCAGACATGTCTGCCAGTGCACCATGCTACGTACTTGCAAAAGAGGCTCGACGCTCGCTAGTCTAAGCTAAAATTGTAGGTGCAACGCACTGCTTTGTTTACCCTGGTCTCTACACATAAGCATATGAAGCACTGGATCACTGAAGATACTATCCTTCTATCCGCTAAAGCGAGAGATGCACGTCTCACGACTTCCCCAGACTACCGTCGCTTGAGACGTGAGGCAACCGGCAAAGCACGGAATGTTCGCAACCCCTACTGGTCTGTTATCGCAGGCAATATGGAAGCCGCATCAAATTCTGGAAATTTGGGTCAACTTTTTCGTCTCGCCAGTTTAAATTCCGGCAAACGATATTCACCACAGCCGATATTGCGCAATTCGGATGGTCAAATCATCCCCAATACGGAAGGAAAACTTTCCAGAGGGCTAGAGTATTTTAGCAACCTAAAACGCCTGCTACACGCCACCACACCCACTTCAGCATGCACCGATTCAGGATATGACGCGAATTTCCCACCACTATCTTACAGAAATTGCAGACATCGTTCGTGGACTGAAGCTGAAGAGAGTTCCTGGAGTGGACACTATTCCAACGGAAATCTACGGATCTTGACTACCAGCTCTCCTTGGCCAGTTGCACGAGCTGCTCTGCTTGATATCGGAGACTGGAATCTGTCCTTCCACGTGGAGTACCTCACATCTACTGCCATTTCCAAAAAAGGTGATCGAATGGTGTGCAGTAATTATCACGGGATTAGCCTAATCGATGTGGTTGCCAAAACCGAACGAATCTTGCTTTCCCACTTTGTCAATGAGAGAAATTTGCGAACTCGCCATAACCAATTTGGCTTTCGTCCAGGCAGAGGCTGCACTGACCAAATCTCCACCCTACATCGGGTACTCGAACACTGCTACAGTTTCAACAGCTCACGTTAGTGTGCTTCGTTAATCTTCGTGCTGCCTATGACTTAGTTAATTGTGAAACAATCTGTAGAATCCTACTTGCCGATGGTGTGCCGCTTAAACTCGTTAACTTGATGAGATCATACTACCGTTACATGAAGTCTCGGATTCGGGAATATCGAGAAGAAACAGAAAAATTCGACATAAATACCGGAGTCCGATAGTTGCCCAATATTTCCAATACTGTTCAACTTCGCAGTCGACTGGGTTATGCATCATGCCCTTGAGGGCTATCGTAGTGTTCAAGTTAGCCCTGAATTCTGACTGTCAGACCTAGGATTTGCTGACAATATCGCCATCCTTGCAGAAGATATTACATCATTGTCGTTACTGCTAAATCGAGTCCACCACTCAGGCTATATAATCGGCTTTGAAATTAACATCAGCAAGACAAAGTACTTCTCATCGTCAGCCACGCAGTCCGCCCCGTCGATATCCTTACATGGACAACACGCCGAGTCTGTTCCTGAATTCAAATATCTTGGACCCACTATTCGCCCAAATGGTCAGGCTACATCCGAAATCCGGAATCGTATTGACAGCGCTAGAACACCGCACACACAACTAAGAAACACGTGGTAGTGAAGGAAGGAAATTAGTGTGAGAACGAAAATTCGAGTATTCCCAGCAACTATTCGTGCCATTTTACTCTATGCTTGCGAAACATGGCCGCTGCGATCCGATGAGACCCGGAAGCTGCAAGTCTTCGACTATCAGTGTCTACGGCTTATCTTGAAAACGCAGTAGCGTGTGCTTATCACCAATGACGAATTCCGTAATCAATGTTACGATCTTCTGAAGTCCTCAGCGCACATGTAAATTCGCAGTATCCATGGTTCATTCATGTCTTCCACAAAGCTGACACTGTTTGCACTAGGGCTGTGGATTCATCCTCGCCTTGCTAGCGTTGGTCTCGTCACCGTGGTTGACAATTGAAAATGTGGCTTGCTGCAGCGAAATCGGATGTCCATATTGCATGAACATACGCAGTGTGCTCATCACTGCAAAAATCATTGGATAAGTATCTGCCTAGAGCTTGCTGCCGACCGCCGCGCTTGAACAGCTGCGATTCGCGACATTCATGAAGCCGGCTCATCCTGTCGCAGGAGCTAGCCGCAGTAAAGTAAATTAAGTAGTGCGACAAAAGCCAATGTTTGCATGCTTCATCAGTTCCCGTCCCAGTGACCGATTCGACCAAGGTTCACTCCAATGGCGATCGCTGTCCACCTTGAGTTTGTGCGTTGCAACCGATTCACACAACGAGTAGTTCAAAATACCTTCAAACTGACTGTACGCTGTTGCAGACAGCTACTTTCTTGCTTGATGCATGTAGTTATTTCCAGGATTTCTGCATTGAATATTGTGCATAACTTCGAGAATATCTTATCAGCGTGATTGACAAGTACGGTGGACCCATTTGCAACTGTACATACAATTGAACCATCGGGAATTCGGATAAAGCATGAAAACAAGGATTCAAATTTATTTGCGGCAATATGCGGTATGTAAAGCTAGGAAATTAATAGCGGAACGCTTGGGCTTGCAAATCCGCAGCAAGTTTGGAAGAACATTGTTAAACACCATGTTTAGATAAGATCAACAATAACCCTAAATTTACAGTGCAGCTAGACTGCACTGGCGCTGTTTCATATCTAATTGTTAGGAGCAACTAATAAAAAACCCAAACCACGACACTCACCCGCATAGGTACCGGGTTTGTTCTCCCATGTGTCTGCAAAGAGATGATGCTATAGCATTTTTATAAAAATCACCCTAAAAAACAAGTGATAGTGATTAATTTGAAATGCAGCCGAAGGCAGATACTTTCGACATGGTGATTAGTACCCGTCTCAGCAGTGAATACACGGTCGTTAGTCCAAATGGAACAAATAAGTAAGGTTGAAATGCGCAAAGTCGGCTTAAATAGCAATCAAATAAAGATTTACAAGTCACAAAATTGGTGCGAGTTACTGACACGGAGGCTGTCTAAATAAAAGCATTAAAAATATTTTATGCGTACACAACAATGGTTGTTAAGACGAATCACGATTTCTTCCGCTAGTGCAAGGAATTCGGTATTTGGAGGGTTTAAAACGGACATACCTAACATTGTAGACTGGGCGATTTAGTTGTGTGATAACGGCGGGATGATTAGTTTGGGATAAGTGTACAACTGTTGCGGCAGTGCAATTCATGTTCGATAGACTTAGTCATGATGAGTGTTGGTGGCGGACGTGTTCTGAAATACATCTCGTGTTGCTACTTATGTAACTTGTCCTACATGATCAGATTAGCTGGCACACCAAGCAAATTAACATCTACATACAGTTTATCTTTCTGCTGGAGGTGTCACGTGCTTGGAAGTGGCGATAATGTCTAAATATGCGGCGCATTTGTTGTTAATAACAGTCGCTATTAATCATTTGCAAACACGTTGGGAACTGTTGTCTCACTTAAAACAGAAAGACGAATACACGCTTTTCTTTTTCACGGTGGATACCTTGTCAAGCACATAGTCAGTCTGCATATTCACGCAAATGAATCCTTTGAATAGCGGCTATTAAGAAGCACTTTTCTTATCTTGACGTACTATACTTCAAATGTATTGCTGGAGCATATTCCCGTCGTTCATCCGACAAGTAATCGTACTTGGTTCTGCTTTCAGCTAATTAGAACGAAATTATCGGTGTGTATATTGGCCCATCCAGATCCCTTTGCTGTGTATTCTAACTGCGGGATGGCAAGTTAAAATATACGAAAGCCAGACATTCGATTTGACACCAGTTCCATGTAAAACTGAATATTCCTCTGGGCACGATTAAATTTTCCTATTTATTTAACGTGATCTACGAAGTCGTCAGCTATGCACATCACGTCAACCACAAAGGGTTTATAGATCGCTTGCTGCTCCATCATTTCACAAAGTGGACCCTTTCCCTGATTTGGCAATAGACACATCTTAGAAGAAGAGACCCAACTGGTGACCCAACAACTACCCCACACATTGTCCGGACATTACCACAAACAATATATAGCTGGGACTTCTGTCCCTGATAAATAAATATATAAATTTGACCATGTAATGCAAACCTTTCAAAGGAAAACTCCTAGTCATATAAATCACAGTGCATTGAAACTATAATTTATTCCATACATGACAGAAGCCAAAATTTCTGGAAAATTTGGATAAAACCAGTAGTTGAAGTTTGTGCTGAAAGCGCAGATATTTTGCGGTATCGTACCTTTGTTGCTTCCAGTTGTTTGCAAACATTACCGTACTCCTGTACCGGTTTTATTTGGTTGATTGCGGTGGAAACAAACCATGTGACGCCTACATTCATGAAGACTTCCATTTTAGCTGCAAATTTAGGGTTATTTTCATACTCGGTAGTATATTTCTTAAAACTTTTAACTACATGCACTATCCCGCGTTGATTATATGGCTACCCTGATCTCGTCTTGCACTACTCCATAAGTCGTACACCTTACTAATACGATCGAGATAGTACATTTACAACAGCAGTGATTTATCTATGGATGCTCCAGTTGATTTATTTCTAGATATCATTACACTGGAATAATTTGTTCCTCTTGGTTCCCAAATGAACCATTTTATCAAATTCGCAGCGACCTGCAATTATACAGACTTTAAATGATACCTTCCTGCACATCAATGCATCCCACTGTAACCTTACAGTATATGTCGTGTTTACTAGTTAATCTAACAAAATTGCCAAACAGCTACACAAATCATTTTATAGTGACAACCAAGCACGTGTCAATTTCTCCTCACTTAGTCAAGGCCACAGCGGTAGAGTGAATGCTAAACATTTATTCCATTTTGGATCTTTGAACATATTTTGTCTTGATTTGTGTGTAGAGAATATGTTCGCCTTCCAGCTATTTATCGATCTAATAATTTTGTCCAAAAGAATAACCCAATGAGAGCTGCTCCAGTAATAATTGCTCACTGGGTGTTTTCACCACCGCTAAGTGTTATTCCTAAACAATTGTAAATTTCCGCATCTAGCATTTTAACAGCAAAACCAGCGTAGTGGAGGCTATGCATGTCAAATACAAAGTAGGAAAAAAGAAAAGCAAGTCTTGTACTCCAACTTTTCAAATTTTACTAAGTCAATTACACATGACTATCTAGCTTGGTTCCTCTGTGCAATTTAATGCCGCCTACCTAAGTACGTGCATTTCACATACATCCTGTGTAACACTTTGTCGCATTTACATTGGCTTGCAACACTTCATAGTTTAAAGAGGGTCACCTGCAAGGTCATTGCCCCACCTAAATCCCCAATACAAAGTCTGTACACGATACTGGAAGTTTCTTCTGTTGATCTTTCAGTCTAACTACCACCCTTTGAAAATCGACGTTATCCTGTTCGGCAACCTGTGCACTGCTTCATTTATCACCGTAATGTAACTGTCACGGGATACCTTTGTAACGCATGCCAAATTCAACAACAAACATTGTGTACCTTATATTTATTATAGGTCGTAATCCATGATATAAGACAAATATGTTTAATTTAAAATCTTGTAAACTACGATAATTAATACTTCCTAAACTCGGGCTCCCATGAATGAAATGCATATCTTATTTTCGCGCAACAGAGCTTCTATTGTGTCTGAATATAATACGCATCTTGTTCAAGGCGACTGCTGCCAATGCCTGTATCACGTCCTCTATATATACTATTTAAATCCGTCTTTACATTTTTGTGCACATAATTCAAATCATGCTGAAAACGTTTCTTTTCGCAAACTTTTGCTTCTGTTTACGGTTTACTGATTTTTAAATTTTAAGAAGAATGAGAGTACTACGCGATTTCCCCTTTTATTATCCCCAACTTGTTTATGTACATAGCCATGCAATGACTCCAAACCTAAATGGATGAAAACACTTCTTTAAGTGAGTTTGGCACAAGATTCCGAACAATGTTAATATTTTAACGTTGATGGTAGATAGGATAGAGTAAAGGTTGAATTTATTCTTAATTCCGCAAAAACTCTCTGGGTTATGGATGACAATGATAATTGCTGGATATCTACAAATTCATTTTATACGGCACGTTAAGACAGTGGCAAATACAACGAATTGTAGCATCTTTGGGGGAACAGGGAAAAATTAGAACGTACAACAAACATTTGGCTAAAATCAAAGTGTAGTAATATATGGCAGTTGCTAAAATGACGATGCAACACGTAGTGGTTAACAGAGGACAACTTAAAGTGATCCTAACGAGAAGCCATTTGTAACACCATTTATTTCACTTTCATTCGCTGCTGAACTAAACAAAAATCATTTAAAATGTAGAAGCTAATCAACGGACTCACAGCAGTGTCTTTTGTAGAAAAACAATCACTGTGATATTACGGAGCAATATAAACTCACGGTCATCTCATCAAAGTAAATTAAGCGAACATTCTCCCCGAACACAGATTCGCTGTCGATCCCCTCCGGGTGTGTGGCCAGTATTACGTACTTGATAGATGACTGAACTTCATTTAGAATAAACTTCGCTTCCGTCATTGAATGACACATAACGGTTTGGAGTTCGGCTTAGGCAGACATCCGAAAAGGTAAAATGATTGTAAAGACATTGGTCGAGCAAACGTTGGTTTGACTGATAAATGATATGTTTACATTATTCTTACGCTATTCACCACATACGTTAGAAGAAATAATTCAGCATCATTTGAAACATTGTGTTTATTTAAAATGATAGTAGCGGGTATAAAGCATTATCACGTATGCAGTTGAGTATTGATTCGTGAACATGGGCGCTCACATAATTGGTTGACAATAAGCTTGCCTTATTTTCCCGATTTCATTGGTTTTTCTTTCCGGCATTTCTAGCCATTGCAACGTAGGAAGCTTTTAGTGAAACGGTTCCATACTACGCGTGCGCGTTACATTCCGTCAATCGGCTAAGTGTCATACTTAGCATTCCGGCGACGGGGTTAAACTACTGCGACAACAGTTCGAACATTCCTTCTGAGAAGCTACTTGCAAACACTGGAAGCGCACTATTGGATTATTCGGAAGTACTTTCAGTCTAGCAACCAAAAACGGTACTCTCAGAGAGCCACTAAATTAACGTATTGAAACAATTTCTGGGGGATGGAGACAAAAGACATTTGGTTGTCCTCCATGTCGGTGAGATGGCGACAGTCAACAGCGCGCTAGAAGTCCTCAGTGGGTTATAGGGTTTACGACTGAACACATACACTGCGCAGCATTTTTTCTCGACCCTGCGTCAAAACCCTGATGAAAGTGTCATTGATTTCATTGCGCGGATTCAGCAAGCCTTACCAGAGTGTAGATATTGTGAACTTTCAGCGACGAAGTTCGAAGAGGCGATGGCTTTACAGTGCTTGAAATCCGGTATCCATAACGAACAGGCTCTTGAAAGGCTGATATCGGAAGATGAGACGACGATGAGCTGGGTGAAGGCTTGAAATGTTGCTCGGAAACTGGAAAATGTCCATAAACAGTTAACAGATCTTTCCTCGCAAACTCATACAGACACATTCCAGCATTTAGCTGCCGAGGAAGGTCGCATTAAAAGTAGAAAATTAGGGCTTTGGCCTGAGTTTGCCGATCTAATGCTGGCGCAGCTGCGAAACCACCTTTCTCCAAGAAGCATGTGAAGGTCGTCAAGCATTCAGACGAAGAAGACCAGCTTAACACGATTTGGAATGCAACGTCGAGGAACTGTAGCATTCACACACACTACACTGTACAATTGGAAATAGAAGGGCAGTTGGTTAAAACAGAAGTTGGTACGGGTGCCTTAGTTAATATAAAGAGTGCTGCATCAGTTAAAAGATTATCCAAACTATCCCCATGTGAACCAACTTTGCGTACGTACACTAGGCAGCCGATATTTCTCCTGGGAAAATACACTGTTCATTTTGCTTATCATGGGGAAAAACGGACCTTGCAGGTATATGTTATGGCGAATACCTGTCCAAAATTACTCTGGCGCGAGTGGATTAAATGCCCACTGGCCACGTTAGCGACAGTGGAGTTCATGTCCATTAACCAGAGCACGGAGGATGTGCTTAACACATAATCGGACGTTTTTGAGGATAAAGTTGGAAAATTGCACGGATATCAGGCGAGTATCAAATTACGGCCGAAAACTCAGCCTCGCTTTCTCAACACACGTACCCTACCTTATTCCCTGAGAGCAGAGATGCAAGAAAAGATAAAGAAATTGCAATCAGAAGGAGCAATCGAGCCAATCCAATACAATGAGTGGGGAGCTCCAATAGTTCCAGTCCTGAAGCCGGATGTTTCTGTGCGAACTGGTGGTGACTATAAACTAACTGATAATCGTTCTTTAATTCTGGATAAGTATCCCTTATCTCGGATAGAGGATCTTCATGCTACGCCGGCAGGCGGACAAAAGTTCACATAGATCGGTCTCAGTCACGCGTACTTACACATTGAGTTAGACGAGACCTCTCGCTCATGCACTACGATAAGTGCACACATGGGTCTGCCCTTCGGAATCAGTTAGGCCCAGGCAATATTCCAAAGAATAAATGACAATCAAATCAGAGATATTCTTTTTACTTTCGCCTATCTTGACGACATTCTAAGTACAGGACATACATATGCTGAAAATTTACAAACGCTATTCAGTGTGCTCGAACGTGTACAACTGAGTGGACTCAAACTGAAGAAGTCCAAAAGAACGATTATCTTACATTCTGTTTGTTACCAGGGTTATCGACTTTAAAAACGGATTACACGTGTTAAGAAGCAAAGTAAAGCCCATATTTGTCGCACCTGAACCCAAAAACGAAGCCGAACTCCGATCATTTTTAGGGATGTTTTCTCAATACCGTCGCTTCTTACCTAACGCCTCAACAGTATTTGCACACTTGCACGAACTGTCGCAAAAGTGGAAGTCCTGAACTTGGGGTCCAGAACAAAGAAAGGTTTTAACAGATGCAATAAGTGTGTTCAGCGCCTTCTCCTATCTCCTGCATTTCCATCCGAGCCGGCCTGAAGTGCTGCAGTGTGATGCTTCGCCACGCGGAGTAGGCGCAGTCCTTTGCCACCGGACGGATGACGGTTCTCTTCTTTCAAGCGCTTTTGCTTCCCGCACCCTGCAACCCACTGAAATGAATTACTCTCAACTGGACAGAGAGGCCTCAGTGGTTATTTTCGGAGTCAAGCCTTTCCACCAGTATGTTTGGGGAAGACATTTTGATATCCACACCGAGCATAAACCAGTTCTTTCGCTCCCGGGTGAAATAAGAATCCAGCAGATATCTTCGCATCGAATGCAAAGGTGGGCACTACGTTTGAACGCCTACAACTGCAAACATCTGGATGTAAACGGACCAATTAATACCATTGCCGATGCACTTAGTCGCCTCCCGCAGCAGCATGGCACAAAAACGAACAGTGAACCCATGGAGCTTAGCAATTTGATACAAAACATTGAAAAGACACCCAACCGGAGTATTGTACGGCGTTTGACTGATCAGGACCCTGGGTTATCGATGCTGAAACGGTTCTTGATGGCCTACAAGCATGTCAGACAATCTAAAAGCATTCACCTGTCAGGGTAGTGAGAAAATCTATACGACGGCTGTATATTCCGAGACTCGCGCATAGTTCTACCAGAAGAAATACGGCCCCATTTGCTGAGAGAGCTGCATGACGCACACTCCGGCTTTAACAGGATGAAGGCGCTGGCATGTGGTTAATGTTGGTCGTCCAACATTGACCAGGATATAGAGCGGCTGCTAAAAACTGCGAAGAATGTTAGAAGTATCAAAGACAAAAATTTCCCGACCTGATACCTTCATGGCCTTGGCCGGAGAAGCCATGGCAGAGGGTAAATGCGGACTACTTTGGTCCTATCAATGAGATGATGTGCCTGCTTTTGATTGATACATATTCTAAACGGATAGAAGTACATCCATTACCACATGCGACTTATGCAGCAACAGTTGCCAAAATGCGCTCCATTTTCGTCATTTTTGATATCCCAGGGACAGTATGCACCGTGAAAATTTGCAACGGTACTTGAGTAACAACAGAATACTGTACATCAAGTCTACGCCATACCATCCCTCGTCGAATGGCATGATAGAACGTGTAGTCCAGACTGTTAAGCATAGTCCCCTCTGTTGTAACGCTTCTTTCTTTACCTCTACTCTCTGCCTCTGACGACTGTTGTACTGCTGCTAGCTGCCCCTTTAGACTGCGACTGTCTGACTGCTCAGTCACGCGCCCAGCCCACCAACGAAATACAGAAGACCAAGATTCGGTAGACAGAGAGGCTTATTGTATAGGTTGTGAGCAAATACTTAAACAACAATATTAAAGATGCTAACTGGCGTTACTTAACACAACTCAAATGGTTCAAGTTCGTGATCTAACTTGCCTCTGATTCCGTACCAGTTGGCATTTTTATCTATAGTCGAGTTCGATCTCTAATTGCAGATCGATGCACTTTTACAGCACTGCTCTTGACTTGATTGCTAGCTGTAAGCTCTCTCCGTAACACCCTCAAGAAAACTCATGGAACTCTACAAACTAAGTTGCATCATCTCCTGTTCTCTTGCCGCACGACACCGACTGAGTCGACAGGAAAGTCACTCGCGGAGTTAATGTTTGGTCGACTAATACGAACGAGACTGTACCCATTTTTCCCGAAACCTCGAAGGAGAATGGAAGAAAAACAGGAAAAACGTGTGAGGATGAAAAGATGCCAGAGAAAATGTCTCAATGATTTTGATCCGGTATACACAAGACTGCCTCACGAAACAAACTGGCAACCTTCTACACTCATGTCCTCAACCAGTAAGCAAGCGGAGCTACAGCTGGAGGATGGCCGTGTGGTGCGCCGCAATTTTGACTACATCCGGCCACGCTCAAACGAATCACATGAACGTGATCAAAAAGCGACGGCTACTGGCCCAAAAACGGACAGAGAATCTGCTACACAAAGCCAGCAAGCACAAACGGGTACGGATCAACCACAAGTACGACGCTCAAAACCCACGCCTAAGCACTTAGATCCGCATCAACCCGCAGAGTGCAGTTTTGACCAGAAAAGTAAGGGGTGTCACGTACGCAGTTGAGTATTTATTCTTGAACATGGATGCTCATATAATTAGTTGACAATAATCTTGTCTTATCATCCCTATTTCGTTAGTTTTTATTCCCTGCATTTCTAGCCACTGCAACGTAGGAAGCTTTTAGTGCAACAGTTCCATACTACGCGTGTGCGTTCGGTTCCGTCCATCCGCTAAGGGCCATACTTAACAAGCATCTAACTAATAATTTATGTCCAGTGATAGGGACTAAAATGAGCCGCTTCAGTACATAAACGAGTACACGTTTTCGCCACTGGAGTCGAACCTAAGTAATACTACAACACAAAAGTAACCAGGTATTATTACTATCAACGTTACGCTGGCTATGAGGCATCATACAAGTAGACTGTAGCTTTTGACGATTAAATGCTTGCTTCTGAAAGTAATAACTGACTGTTCACTCGCAGTAGCTTAACGCCGCAGAAAAACAGTGTTTTACACGCTATGAAAAGGCGTATCCAAGCTTACTTTGCTGTATGATGTACTGCATCGCCTCTTTTCCCAGCGTGTGGTACAGAGGAACGTAAATGTATGAATATGCTGCGCAAGCCTGTTGTGTTACGATCCACTGAAATGTGTAAAAATGCATTAAAGTTAAGCCAGATTTAAACAAAAGCTTATGATGAGAAGATTGTGACAAAACAAACTGACTAGTTTGCGGAGCTATCAGTTCAGTAAAAAAATAATGAAAATACTGCAAAGTTCATGCCAAAAGTAATGTATTTTAATTGGCCTTAACTTTTATCTGAAAAGCATAAACCGTCATTAACTGTGCTTAGAAAACAGTCTCCTTGGTTTATGAAAGGTTGCCTAATCGTGAAACATTACACAATAACGGATGCAATTGGAAGTTTCAATGCTATGGCGATGTGATCCACATGCGAGCATGCAGTCTATTTTATCGCGATAAGATGTGGTGAAAAGAAACTGAAATGAGTAAAGAACTTGGAATTTTGTCTATTCGGAAATGAGTTAACTTTCGATGGTTTTTACTACCTGTAGACTACAATATGGCAAAAGACTTCTATACTGCTGATAAAACTGAGGATATTCCTATAAACTAGTATTGTGTAAAGCCTATGCCTATTAACATATGCATACATATATTGCAGATGCAACTTTAGATTAAAAACTTCTTTTATCGAGTGTCCTGGAATAGATGAGCTAATTCGATCTTTAACAAATAACAGGGAGATATGGTTACCCTTCCAAACAACGTCGGAGCAAGCCAAAAGAAAATCGACTTTCTCGTGTCTTGGCCTGCGCATTGCCAGACATAAGGTAGTAAAGAATACTCCACGAAAGTAGAACGACAGTTGACTAACCTGCATGGAATTTCGAGCATAGATACCAACAAAATTGTGAGCACCTTCTTGGTAGCCAATAGTATGCACCAATGCGGAGCCAAAACCGATTATTAGTTGGTTAATCTTAAATGCAAATCCTTTTGCCACTATAAATAGCAGCATACCTCGGAATACGTCAGCCATTCGTATGGAGCGTCCGTGCTTTTCCTGCTTCCAAGGCAAGGAAGGTTTTCTACAAGAATAACAAGTAAGAAATTACGCTTGATTCGCCACACTAGATCTGTTTTGTTTGCAACTACAGTTTAATAAAATACTCTAAATAATTATTCTGTGGCTTTATGGGCTACAGCGGATAACCAACTATTACGCGCAGGATTTAAACACATACTGGAGATGCATATACAGGTTTATCATAAGACACAGAGATACGAAGCTTATGAGTTGACAAGGCACTCAGTATATCGGTTAGCTCTGAGTAGGACTACAGAAGTACAAAATTGTAGTGTACCAGAAAACACGCTGTTTCACTAGTTTGCAACATTGGATTTTACGGCTGTTTCAACCTTAAAAACGTCCAGTAGTTTTACTCACGGCACATCCGTTGACACAAATCGTTTTGCCTGCACTATATACATTGGGTTCAGTCGCCTCCAACTTCGATACTGTCCCATAGTTGATATGTCTCTTACCTGTCACTGATTACCTACTCGTATCCCAGGCACCACTCAACAATCGGTGACCCCACTCCAGAACACGCCGTCCGCCAGTTTGAATTTTCATTCTAGTGAGCTCGTTCCAGTGCTTTAGTGGTTCATTACTTGCGATGATATTGTTATTGTTTCTCACCTACCACATTTTTTCTGCTTTTTGCAATGGGTTATCTAGAGGATGAGCAATTTCCATATGCGGTTAACGCCGTTTGGCCTATCATGGTCAATTCTGCTGCGTTAGCCCCTCCACCTTTTTGAGAGAATGATTCTTCGTTATGAATCCGCTTTCTACATTCGTAAGATTGCTGCTGATTTCGCCATGTATAATCAGCTAATATCTCGCCCTCCTCAGAGTACATCCTCGCAGGTGAGAAATATCATATTTTGCCCCCCACTAGTAATGAAATACGAGACCCTTAAACAGGCTAGTATTCAACGAATCGCGCGTTCTGACAAGATCCGTCTGCAGAAAATATTTAGTGATCTGCAACTAGGAGATAAGATATCATCAGCCTTGTTGCGCGAAATTCAACGGCTCATCGGCACATCCAAATTGGACGTATGGATTCTCCGCGAGCTGTGGATGCAATATCTTCCTGAAAGCACTCAGTCTATCCTTGCAGTAGCACGCGACTTGCTAATAACAGCAATTGCAGATCTGACAGACCGCATCACCAAACGGCACCAGCCAGAGACTGAAACAAAGCAGCTTTTGCTGGCGCAACCACACTGACACCCGCAACTAGCCATTCGTCAACAATAGAAGCATTATCATCACAGATAACGTCGCTTCAGCGCCAGATCAAGGAACTTGCCTTAAATCGTAAGCACCGCAACCACTCTGGATCATCGCGCCGTTGCACAAAACCTGATGCTCCAGATTACTGCTTTTACCACTCGCGTTTCGGTAATAAAGCTCATAAGTGCGTACAGCCATGTGGTTGCTCCGTTACAGATGATCCGCCACGCCGGCCTCTTATGGCCACGAACGACGTCGCCAAAGACCATAGTCGTCTCAAGTACATTAGGGCTCATGATGCCGACACACAGTTCTTAGATACTACCGGGGCGGAAGTCAGCGTCATTCCCCTTATGCCAAGTGAGCCTACCCCTTCTTTGTTGACAAGCCTAATTGCCACCAATCGCAAGCCAATAGCTATATAAGGTCACCGGTCGCTTACCTTGGACCTAGATCTTCGGCGCATGTTCCGCTGGGTATTCGCCGTCGACTTAGTCTCAATTATTATCATCGGGATTGACTTTCTCAGGCGTTTGACCTCTTAGATGATACGAAACGCCAGATGATAGTCGACACTGCAATGAAACCAGTATTCGTCGCATCACCGCTGACATTGCATTTATAACACCAGTCTACGCCTTTTCTCACACCTCGCCAGATTACGCCAACCTCTTTTCCCAGTATTCGAAACACGTTCAGCCAATAAACACAGGTTTGCCCGTGGCATTCCAAGTCAGGTACCACATACGGGCGAATGGTCCATCCGTCTCATACAGTCTATCGCCCGAGAGACTAAATGTAGCTAGGGCGGAGTTTGAGCACCGCACGGATTATGAATAATCCGCACTTGCGACAGCCCTTGGTCCTCGCCCCTGCAGATGATCCCCAGGGAATCTGGTAACTGGCGCCCTTGCGATGATTACCGCGCATACAAATCGGCTAACCGCCCCAGATAGGTATCCC